AAAAAAAAAAAAAAGAAAAAAAAAAAAAAGATGGAGCTTTCACAAAGGTTGTTCACGTGAAGCCCCACTACGTGGCAAAACTCCAGGAGCGGGAGGCATCGAAGATAGAGCATTCGAGGCCTCAATACTTGGCCAAACGCTGGAAGACCCAGGAAAAAGGTGCATCTGGAGGAAAGAAGAAAACCTTTGACGGTCACTTTGAATCCGACCTTCAGACTCTTGCAGCTCATCAAGCTTCCTCTTCATGCCCGTCGAATAGTTGTTTGCAAGCACGTGCAAACTTCTATTTTCATACTTCAGCTGCTTGATCTCTTGCTTGAGACTTTCCACCTCTGCCATCAACGATTCAACCTGACGGGAACGAGCAAGTAGGCGTTGGCCCATGTTGGATACAGAGCCTGCACACTGAACGCTGAGAGCGAGGGACTCTTGAACGGCCAACTCATCGGACCGTCCTGAAAGCAGCCGACTATCTTCAGGAGTAAGGAGGTTCCTAGCTACTATCGTAGCTGTTGTTGCGTCCTTCATCACAGAGTCTTCACCTGTAAGAGGACCGTTAGAAGATAAAAAAGAAGGGCGCCATACATTACCTTGACGGGGCACAACCGGATCGCTGCTGAGACTCAAATCTAAGCAAAGGTTCGATGAGTTAGTCATTTTTCAAAGGTGTTCAAAAAGAAGGGATGGAGTAAAATTTCAAAGGGTCGGAGACGATTTTTCAAGAATGGGCAATCTTCAGAGTGTGAATGTTGGGGTGATCAATACCGTTATAAAAAGCCAAGGCGACACGACCACCGATTCAAAAAATCCGGATTTTCCTGCGTGAAGTTTGGCGACGCGTTCGCTGCTTTTCAGAAAACGCGTTCAACTTTGTCAAAAGATATCTGACAAAGTCGAGAACACGTGGAGGCCATCATCGCAACTACACGTCTTTAGCCGACAAGCGCAAAGTTCGGCGACGCTTTCTCTGCTTTTCAGAAAACGCGTGCAACTTTGTCAAAAGTGGCGCTCGTTCAGAAATCGAAGAGGCGTCGTTCAGAAATCGAAGAGGCGTCGTTCAGAAATCGAAGAGGCGTCGTTCAGATATCGAAGAGAGACGTTTGTCGACAAGGGTAAAAGAACAAGACCACCACTTGCTATTAAGAAATCCCTATATGTGTCGACCTTCGTTTCTTATGGCAAGGCAGACCTGAAGAAAATGTCCAACTCTTCCTCACCTCTGAAGGCGCACTCCCAGCAAAGCCTCTCGAAATACTCAATTCTTCTTCTTCCCTTGAGAAAACCTATTCAACCTTTGAAGATACCAGATGCCTGGAGTACAGATGACCCAGGAGGAAACAATAGATTGAAGCATGTGTTGATTCATTCACCGCTTCTTCAAAAGCAAAGGTATCTCATATCATCAAGGGCGAAAGCATAGGTATCTCATATCATCAAGGGCGAAAGCATAGGTATCTCATATCATGCTTTTTCCCTATCTTTTCCTTTGCCCTTGTTCTCACCTGCCAAGACAAGGACAGAGGAAGCAATATGTCGGAACCTCCACTCAAACCAGTTGCCACCAAGGAGTGAAGCACCATTTAAATGCAAAGGTTGCATTCAACTCCTGCATCGGAGGACAAATACTACAAGAGAAGATGCTAAACCTGCATAAGGAAATACCACTTCTGCAAAGGGGAGCAAGTAAGGCAAGCGAAAATGATACATCGAAGCATGTGGAGACAAGCACAACAAATATATGTGCTGATTTATTCGCTGCTTCTTCGAAAGCAAAGGTATCTCATATCATGCTTTTTCCCTGTCTTTTCCTTAGTCCCTGTTATTACTCGCATGGCAAAGTGAAAGAGAGCAGTCAGCGGCACTTGGAGTCAGTCTTCCGATCTGGAACCGACTACCTGGAATCTATTCCTGATTGCTTACCTAGTATTGCTCTCGAGTAGTCATCTTCAACGGTTGATACGCTGCCAGAGAAGGGACAAGGAAACTTCAATCTTTCCAACCTTCTTCAATACGAATTGGAAAGATTGAACAAAGAAACAGGTCAGCACCTCCACCTTGTACTTGCCTGCCATATCCTGAAACCGCTCGTAGACCTTCGGGGGGAGACCAAAAGAATCCTGCTGCCCAGTTCAAGAGTAGCACAAAGGAAAATCAACGAGCGGATGAGACCAGAAGAATCCTCCAGCCCAGTTCAAGATCAAGCCTCAATGGCCCTTGAAGAAATCACAAGTCCGATTCAAAATCAAGTGTTCACCACCCTTGAATCAAATTCAACTCCAGATAAAAGGAGTAAGTTCAGACCTTCGGAGGAGACCAAAAAAATCTTCCAGCCCAGTTCAAGATTAAGCTTGTGGAAAATCAACGATTGGAGGAAACCAGAAAATCTTCCAGTCGAACTCAAGATCAAGTCTCGATGGCCCTTGAAGAAATTTCCAGCTCAATTCAAGATCAAGCCTCGACGGCCCTTGGGTTGACATCTACATTAAGGGACTTCAAAACGCATCTTCTACACGTGACAAGCACATGTCTACGACGCGCCTTGAAGTGGGGGCATTTGTAGACATCAAAATTTCGGTGAAATGAATGTTGACCAATAATTAAAATTTCAACACTCACGTGTCACATAAATTTTACATGTAGCGTGCGACTCAACGAAAAATCGAAATAAATTGGAAAAGTCATCAAATAGGACACGTGTCAATACCTGGCAGAAATGATTTATTTCATCTGATTATTTAAATCCAAAAATCAAGTTTTGGAATTCTATAAATAGGAAGCCAAGGCATTCATTTGAGAGAGAAAAGAAAGGAAGAAGAAAAGAAAGAAAGAAGGGAATTTACATCAAACCAAAACCTTGAAGCCTTGAAACTCTAAAGCTCTCAAGCAAAATCCCGAAGGATCAAGAAAACACTCTTCGTTCTTCGTCAAACCCTCCTTCAAGGTCAAGCCCCAACGGCCCTTGAAGAACTTCCGCCGACTCAAGATCAAGCCCCGACGGCCCCTTGAAGAAAGTGTTCATCATCCGTTCGTCCTAAGATCAAGCCCCAACGGCCCTTTGGATCAACAACCTCAACAAATCCACACATCCAATCAGTCTTCAAGATTAGGCCCAAAAGCCCTTGAAGATCCGCTCATCCATCAACCCTCAAAATCAAGCCCCGACGGCCTCTTGAAGAGATCCATACACTCAGTCTTCAAGATTAGGCCCAAAAGCCCTTGAAGATCCGCTCATCCATCAACCCTCAAAATCAAGCCCCGACGGCCTCTTGAAGAAATCCATACACTCAGTCTTCAAGATTAGGCCCAAAAGCCCTTGAAGATCCGCTCATCCATCAACCCTCAAGATCAAGCCCCGACGGCCCCTTGAAGAAATCCATACACCCAGTCTTCAATATCAAGCTCAAAAGCCCTCGAAGATCCGTTCATCAACTGTTCATCCCTAGATCAAGCCCCGACGGCCCTTTGGATCAACAGCTCATCCACAAACCTACACCCTACGAAGATAGAATCAGAGGATCAAATAACAAAGAGATTGTAACCCCAAAATCATTAAACATAAAATATATTTTGTACACGGTATTCTTGTTTCTTGTTTCAGGAACTTTTCGTGTTTACAGAAGACATGTAGCCGTTGCAAACCAATGTGTCAAAAAATGTTTTTATATGCAAAGAATCTAGACTTTCTGTTAGTGTTTTCGAAAATTCATACTTTGTAGTTTGCACACTACTTGTATCCATCATTCCATATTCTGACCAAAACTACATGTATCTATGCAGCTTGGAAATTGTGAAGGACTATCAGGTTTTACCTTATAGACAGTTCCGAAACCGCCTTCTGCCCGCATTCACTCACTATAAGAGCAGGGGCTCATCAAGCGCCTTCTTCCACTATATATAACTTGACTTACTATCTATAATACGTTTTTTCAGAGTCGAGCACACTTCGTGACCTCCTAAAAGCAGTTACTTCATACCGATCATGCTACCAGTGGCGTTGTCACAACCATCGATCAACTACTTGATGCTCCGGTAGTATCGTATGATGTCCGCATTACCGACAAAGACCCGCTTCTTGCGAAGTTTGGTATCATGTGGAAGATCTATGATATGGTTGGTGATCATCGAAGGTAAGCTCCGCCGCATTCTCATTCTAAAGTAAGGCCAAGGACTCTTTATTCCCCCATTCCGAAGCCACCTTCCCCAACTTTATTGTGGTTTGAAAAATCATTGGTAGCACAAGTTACAGTACCCAAGTCAAATAATGGTAACTCCAGATCTTCCTTTGGTCCGACCTCAGTTTTCCTGCTAAGCACATAGTGAAGTAAATCGTGTACCATGGAACTGAACTTAGAAAACGGAGGGCTAGATGAGTAGAAAATGTAAGATGGGGGCTAGGCCCAGGATTAGTAGTCCAGCAGACAACACGGTACTGGTTACCACGATTCTCATTTTCTTCACTTTGGATTTTGCATTGTCTGCTTGAAGTGGTAACGAAGTATTTGAAAGCAGAAAATTAATAAGGAATTACAAAGAAGAATAAACACCAACGATGATTCCATACCCAGTTTGGATGCAGCCAATTTTATGTATATATCTTGCCCATTTCCATTGAAAGTTCTTGAATCAAACAGATCACCATACCACATCAAGCACCCACTTCCTCCTGCCCTGATATCCAAATTTGCAAAAGCTGTGCAGGATCAGTTTTCGCTGCACATCATCTCACATTCATTGAGGTTCATACTTGTGTTATGCCAGGATTTTTCTGTGCTCGGCAGTTTCGTCCCAGAGTACTTCAGAAAGTTGTCTCCACTGCAATTCAGTGGAGTCATTCTCATACAGGCATATGTTGCACGCCGGGGGGCCCCTTTTTGTTGAAAATTTGGTCTAAATCCTGCCAAGCAACCACATAGCGGGGGGTTGTCAATATTACATGCACCATTTGGCCCACATGTTCCATAGCTGTCACACGTATCAGCCGGTGTTCCTAGTAAAACTTCCTAAACTTGGGATCTATTAATCCAGTTGTAGCTCTTCACACTCCCATCTTGTGTCAACACCAGCCTTGGAAGAATTGAACTGTTGTGAAGCTTATAACCATAATAGATTTCATCCCGATCAAACACGTAAGTGTCATATATGTTCGTACTGTTTGGATTCAAATCAGCATCCCACTGAATCGGATTCCATTCCATGGTCCAGTACGAAGTTTCATAACCGAACCCTGCATCAGAACTAATTCATGATATCCATCAGTAACAAGTTGGTAAGAGTAACTTCCTTGAGAATGATCCTGGGGACTTTTCCATGATGTAAGTTGCCAATAAAAGCCTGTTACCTTGTTCCTACCAAGCTGCATACCAGGAAGGAGCGTATCACCCGGGTAATCAAAACTCTGCCACAGAAAATTCTCCGGGACAACGTTGTGATCATTACCATCTATCACAACAAGATTTCCCGAATCCAAAAGCCGTGCCACTGGATTCTGTGTAGGTATTGATGTGTTGGAGGACCAAACTGTGTTGTTCTGGTCGACAAGGACAAGAATCCCAGGGTTGGTGACCTTCAGAACACCGGATGAAGCAGAGAGAGGAAAGTCCCGGTTTGCTACCCAAACAACGGTCATATCCGGTATCTTCTTGTACCATATCCCCACGTAGCGTTTATTTGAAGCACCGGGACTGAAAAAACCAAGCTCAAAGGTCTCACCATCTGTAATTGACTGAAATGTGGTTGCATCGTTGACTTGTGCTGCGGAAAATGTTGCAGTGGTAGTGACGAGGAGGAAGAGCAGCAAAAGATGCAAGCACATCTTAATTGGGATTTTTCTTTGCCTTGGTGGGATCTGAAATGTGGTATAAACGTATGATATGTCAACAGAGAAGTAATCTACTGAAACGAGAGAGAAGTCAAAGAAACCAGAGGAATCGAAGAGAGAAGAAGAAGCTGCATAACTGCTTCTTTCATTCAATAATTGGGTCATGATTACGTATCCTTTAGACTATTTATATGAATACAACAGCATAACTAACTCAAGAAACTCCCAATGATACAACGACACCTGGCCACTCCTTGCACTTGACACATGCACAGCCTAAGCATTCTTTACACTCTGTCATTCTCCCTTAAGCTTATGCTGGGAACAACTGAGCATAAGATTGGAACAATGAACACTAAACTGAAGAGAACACAATTCTTTTGTGAAAATGTTTGCATACAGATCTGCAGAAGCTACAAAATGTAACAAAACAGTGCCTTGTTGAACTCTTTTACGCACAAAATAACAATCAGTTTCAATATGCTTGGCCTTGGAGTACAATGCAGGATCGATTGCTAATGCCATGGCAGAAATGTTATCACAATGAAGTAAAGAAGTATCAGAACATACAATGTGTAAGTCCTTGAGTAGCTGCTGAATCCAAACAATTTTTTGAGTAGTAGTAGCGATAGCTATGTATTCTGCTTATGTGGAAGACTGACTAAAAATGTGTTGTTTCTTATAACTCCAAAAAATACGCTTGGAGCCAAGAAATACTATAAAACCAATAATTGAACATCTATCATTAGGATCACTAGCCCAATCGACGATACACGTCCCTTAGAACGTTTCGAAAATGTTCCGAATTTCCAATCGACAAAAATTTGTTCTAGCCACATACTGATGAACAATGCTCGGCTAACGTTTCTCCATTGATTTTTCATTTTTTGGGCATAAATATGAACAATGCTCAACCACTCAAGAATGAGGAGGAATTCCTCCCATAGTTCGTAATGCTTTTATCAATTCCTACCATTTCGTTTTTATATAGTTCAATGATTAAACAATATCGTATTTTATTGGGTTTTTTTTTTTGTGCAAAAATTATCTTTATAAAGTGATTTATAATATAGACGGTTTTGATCATAATTACAAAGTTTTGTGAATCGGCACAAAGAGTGTAGCTATGTGACAATGACTTATATAACAGGCATTTCGTTTTTACTCATGATTTATTTTTGCATTCCTTTTATGAATTCTCCCGTTTGCTGAAAAAATGAAGGAAAATTTGATCCATATACTTGTTTACTTTTTTTCAAAGTTTAAAACCTTTTTGTTGCTGTAGTACTGTATGAAGTTATCAACCATACCTCAAATCCAAAGAAAACATAAATAAAAACAGTAAAGGCTTGGAATCTCTCATATTTGTGTTCAATTCTAAGAATTTATATGCACCAACACGAAATATATATTATGACATATAATTTATTTCTTGCCTTGAAGAAGTTGTAGTAAAATCAAGGGACAAAACCACGAGGGATAGGTGTGCAGAAATCATTTCCCGTATTTTATCGAGCCTCAAGTATTGAAATAGTGACTTCATTAGCCGAGCATACTTTAGAAGAATGACCGGCTTCGAGTTCAGTCAGATCCCTTTCACTGTAAAAACCAGGTTTTAGAGGTTGAGGCAATGCACCTTCACCACTCAACATTAGAACTGTAGCTGACATGCTTGGCCTGTCCTCAGGATTCCGCTGCACGCACAAAAGACCCACATGAATAGTTCTTACAACTTCAAGCAGAGTGATGGAGTCCTCTACCGATGAATCATGCAGTTCGAGAGGCCTGCCTTCTGTGTGTAGCATCCATGCCTAAAACACGAAATCTAGTTACTTAGTAGAAGTAGCAGAGTCAAGTGATAAGAATTTTTAACTTGACATTTGATGTTATCACGCTCACATGTCCAAGAAGGTTGAGTTTGTGGTCTGGATGAGAGAATCCTCTATTTCTGCTCCCACTCACTATCTCTAGCACCAAAACACCAAAGCTATAAACGTCGGACTTTATAGAGTACAAACCATCAATTGCATATTCTGGGGACATGTAACCGCTGCAAACCAATGTGTCAAATAAACGTTTTTATACGCAAAGAATCTAGACTTTCAATTAATGTTTTCGAAAATTCTTAAAAAACAGTCATACAATTGTTTTTAGGATACTTACTATGTTCCAGCCACTTTCTTCGTCTCTGCTTTCGTTTCATTTCCTCCAAAGCTTCTAGCCAGACCAAAGTCTGAGATTTTCGGGTTAAATTCACTGCCTAATAAAATGTTACTTGCTTTGAGATCTCTATGAATAACTCTCAATCTAGAATCTTGATGAAGATAGAGGAGCCCTCGAGCTATCCCATTAATAATTTCAAAGCGCTTCGGCCAGTCTAATAACATCCTTCTTCTTTGATCTGCAAAATATCATAATTCACAATTGTCAAAAAATACATTGTGCTAGGCTACTAGCATAAGCGGACTAATCGAACTAAATGCAAGGTTTTTGAGTGGTCAAACCGAAAATAAAGAAGTCTAAGCTCTTGTTGGGCATGAACTCGTAGATCAGTATCATCTCGTCTTCTTGAATGCAGCATCCAAGAAGCTTCACTAGATTCCTGTGCTGAAGTTTGGCAATATGTGTAACTTCATTCTTGAACTCGTCGAGTCCTTGTCTAGAACTTTTTGAAAGCCTTTTCACTGCGATTTCTTGTCCATCTTCCATCGTACCCTGAAATCCATCAGCGTATGTTAAAACCAAAATTCATGCGTTGTAGTTTGCACACTACTTGTATCCATCATTTCATATTCTGACCAGAAGTACATATATCTATACAACTTCAAAACTATGAAGGACTATCTGGTTTTACCTTAAAGACATATCCGAAACCGCCTTCACCAAGTTTGTTTTCAATTGAAAAGTTATTGGTTGCAGAAACTATAGTCATCAAGTCAAATAACGGTAATTCCAAATCCTCCGTTTGGCTGTGTCCCAGTTTTCCTGCAAAGACGCAGTGACGGGTGAAAAAAAAACTCCCTATACTACTGAACTATGTAGTTTGGAAAGCAAAGGGGCAGAATAGTATGGCCAACTTACCAACTTTTTGGTGCTGCTTCTTCCAAACAAAAAACAGCAGGGCAAGGCCCAGGATCAGCAGTCCGGTAGACAACACAGTAGTGCTTAGTATGATTCTCATTTTCTTCGCATTGAATTCAGAGTATTTAGCGTTGATCTTTGCATCGTCTTCATAATCTACGAATGATATTTTTGAAGACAAAAAATCTATGAGTCGGAAAGCATTAAACGAAAAAATAAAAACTGTATAATTTCTATCATCCAACTAATAGTTGCTAGTTTGTGAGACAATTCCAAAAGAAGATATTGCTTATTGTGTCAAAATTCAAAGTTAGAACTGTTATAATTAGTACAATGTTTCACTTCGTTATGTCTTGACTTTGTTTCTAGCATATGATTATGACTGAATGCAAAGTCACCAACAGGTGTTTCTTACATACCTAGTTCTGCTGCAGCCATTCTTATATAAATATCTTGCCCGTTTTCAGAAAAGTATCTTATATCAATCAGATTGCCGTACCACAGCAAGCACCCAGTTCCTCCATCCCGGATATCCAAATTTGTATAAGCCGTGCAGGAGCAGTTCTTCATGCACACCATCTTACATTCCTTGAGGTTCATACTTCTGTTAAACCAGGATTGTTCTGTGCTGGGCAATTTCAACCCCGAGTACTTTGGGAACACGGCTCCGGTGCAATTTAGAGAAGTCTTTCTCACACAACCATTAGACCAAACTGCCAAATCCCATTCTTTCGGAAACTTTGGTGTAAATCCTTTCAAACAGCTACAAACCGGGGACTTTTCAATGTTACATGCACCATGTACACCACAGAATGCATACTTGTCACAGTTATCAAGTTGGGCTGTTTGAAGCCAACCTTTGGTTCTATCAATCCATGTGTAGCGCTCAACAATTCCAGCTGAAGTTAACACCAACCTCGAAAGGATTGAGCTGTCGTGAAGCTTGTAACTATAGTACATTTCATCAGGCTCAGAAACAAGACCGTATGTGAATATAGGGTTTGGATTTGACTGAGGGTTTCCACTGAACCGGATTCCATTCCATGGTCCAGACCGAAGTTTAATGACCGAACCTTCCCTCACAAATAATTCTGCATATCCTTTGGGACCAAGTTGAGATGTACAATCGCCTTGAGAAGGATCCTGAGGACTTTTCCACGATCTAAGATGCCAATTGAAGCCTGTAACTGTGTTCCTACCAATCTTCATACCTGGTAAGAATGTATCGCCAGGGTAATCAAAACTTTGCCACAGAAAGTTCTCAGAGTGATCATCACTCCTATCTATCACGACAAGATTACCCGAATCCAAAAGACGTGCCACTGGATTCTGTGCAGTTCTCGATGTGTTGGAGGCCCAAACTGTGCTCATGTTGTGGTTGAGGACAAGAATTCCGGGGTTGGTGACCTTCAGGACGCCGGACAAATCAGTGAGGGGTTTTTCTCTGTTGGCAACCCATACAATGGTTGTAACAGATTTCTTGTACCATATCCCCACGTACCGTCTATTAGAAGCATCAGGACTGTAAAATCCTAGCTCAAACGTTCCGCCAGTTGAAACTACAGTCTCACCGTCTCTAATGGACTGAAATGTACTTGTGGCGTCATCAGCTATGGAGAATACTGTTGCGAAGATGAGTAGCAAAGAAGAGTAGAAGAGAAGCAAGCACATCTTAGTTGAAGCCTTCAATGGACTTTTCATTAAATTCATGGGAAGACAAATTGTCCATATGCGCCCTTCTTACATGTATGATTTCGCATTGTTCTGTCATTTTGGACTGCAAAATTGTTGAATAATTGGCACAAGGGAAGACAACGGACTCGGTCCAAGAATGATATTGTCTTGGCTTCACATTTTCCTATGACAATTAAGTTGTTTCATACAGTAGCAAAATATCTAAATTAATATGTGGTCATCCAATTCCCTCAGCTCAAAGGAAACATACAATTAAGGCTTTACCTGCTCTGGTTGCCATTACTCTTTGCCATTACTGGTGGAAAAATTAGACGAAGAGAGGAACCCCACGTTTGACTTGAATACACTGTTTGAGCAATATTAGAAAATATGAAAATAACATAATAAAT